TGTAAGAAAGTGTTGTAACACCATCTTTGTTTTCAGTGAGTTAAAAACAGCAATCACATCCAAGAGGGTTAAGCTTGACAGACTTTAAATGATATGTAAATAAAAGTGTGAAGCACTGCTGTAGGTGTCAATACACAGGTTAATAAGGATCCTGCTTTCATTCATACTCATCAGAATGCCATCACTGATAGGAAATTTGCACAATTCCCCATATTGAACATATTGAAACATACAAGCTTTCATAGATGTTTACAGTCTGTAAGGCAGTAAAATGGGTTTTGCAAGAGCTGTAGATTATAAAGAGAAAGGAAACAGGTCATTAATATATTTAAAACATGCAGGTGCAGTGGTGGGATTTATTAAATTATTAGAGTAATGTAACTTTCCTTTGCAGCACCCCAATGCTCATCCTGTCTTGACTATTGCTTATGGAAATGACTGGCAGGTTATAGCAGGGACAAATAAAAAAAGACTATGACTCTTTCACTGTCTGTCTGTCTGTCTGTCTGTCTGTTTTTTTGTTTGTCAGTCTCATATGTTACTTTAACGTCAATGTTTTTTTTTCTTTTTCCTGCCATCACAATGTAGAAGTTAAAGAGATAGTTCACCCAAAAATGAAAATTCACTCATTATCTATTCACCACTATGCCTATGGAGGGGTGGGGGAAGTGTTTGAGTCCACAAAACACTTTTTGAGTTTCAGGGGTAAACAGCATTGGAGCCAAATCCAATACAATTGAATTAAATGGTGACCAATTCTTCAAGTGTAAATTAAACAACAGAAAAAAACATAAACTGCTTCCATACTGCTCCTGTGGTGTCATACAAGTGTCCGTAAGCCCAGACATTCAAATTCGTCTTGAAAAAAGGTCATCTACACCATTTCTTTTACCTAAATGTCGTCTGTGATCCACGCTGGAGGGCAGCTCCGGAGGAGGAGGACAGAGGACATTTAGGCTAAGAACATGGTGTAAATGACTTTGTTTCAAGTCGAATTTGAATGTCTGGAGGCGTTTTAGAGAAGAAAAGAGTTGGTCACCATTTCATTTTATTGTATTGGATTAAGCTGCAACTGTGTTTACGCTTGAAACTCAAAAAGAGTTTTGTGGAATCAAACATTTCACCCACCCCTCCATCGACATAGTGGTGAGTAGACAATGACTGAACTTTCCTTTTTCGGTGAACTATCCCTTTAATATGTTGTCCCTGATACTGTACCAGGCACTGACCTTTCTGTTTCTATCTAGGCACCTATAAGTCAGAGGAAAACCAGCTGCTGTTGAAAGTCTATCAGGTGAAGGGGCCCACAGAGCATTACTACAGCAAGTTTAAAAATGACAACTGGGCGATGGATGGATACGTAAGACAAACCTCCTCTTATTTTTTACATCAATCAAGTGAACAGAGGTTTTACTCATCTCATCATTAATCACTATTAATGTGTATATTTCTGGGAAACAGATAAATGATCATAATGAATTACCCTTCCCTCCTCTGTATTAATGATGTAATACTGTCTCTAGCACATTTCTCAACCTGCGTCCACTAGACGCCGCTTGGGCTCCAGAGAGGTGTGTTGACATTCCAGAGAAATCTTCAGTGACATTATTCAAAACAGATTTACAAACACAATGAAATCTAATTAGCATCATTTCAGAAAGGATTAATGTGGCTTACCAAAAAGCATTTGTTTCCATCACCTTAAAGGTGGAGTAAGCAGTTATCTAGAAAAACTGTTTATATTCGAACTCAACAAAACAAGTTCTGAAGCCCTGCCTCCCGAATTCATGCATGTGCACTGCCATGACAGCCACACACCCGTGGAACCAAGAGTCACATGGTTTGGGACGTGGAGGTGGACACTCTCGCATACATAAAACATAACAAACCTTATGATGATGTAAGATTGCATTAAACAAAAGAAACAAACAAAACAAACCCGCTATCCAGAAAATTAAAGAGTTAGAACCAGCCCAAGTTAGTTGATCACTATATCAGCCTTCATGCAATGTGCGTGGTAAAAAGGGAAAATTCAGGAGGCACGTATTTAAACAAAAAAATCCAACATTTTGTGTGTACACAGTTCACCTGCCACAAACAACACGAGCACAGCCAGGACATCAGGGTTAAAGTGTCTGCAACGATCTGGATTCATGATCCGACACCATCGATTAATAACTGAATTAATGTGATCGTCAGTTTGTGCGTGAAGAGCAAAAGAGACGAGCACACACACACACACACGTTTATACTTCTATCTTAGTGAGGACTCTTATTGACATTATACATTCCCTAGCCCCTTACCTTAACCATCCATACTAAATGCCTAACCCTTATCCTAACCCTGACCTAAACCTAATTCTAAACCTAAACCTAAAACCAAGTCTTAACCTTAAAACAGCCCATGGAAAAAGTGAGGAATGGTCAAAATGTCCTCACTTTCCCAAAGATGTCCTCACTCCGTAGGGTCTATGCTTAAAATGCTCCTGACAAACAGGAACACGCACACACAGAGAGAGACACACAGGAGAGAAGTTCTTCCCGCAGATGATCACACAACATGGTGTTCACGTTTAACTTCCTTGTTGCAGAAGAAGTGACGCCCCGCTGATCCAGGAACATTAATATCACTTCAACAGGTCATTCTAACGATCAGGGGGAAAAAAAATGTTGGTGACTTTTAACAATGTTGCATCAGGTCAGTTTTCACATCTGCTTTGTGATAATATTGACTCTTACTCAGTGAAATCCTGCTCCTCCTCCTCAAAAGACTCTCTCACCCCGAGCCTTGGCTAGCAGCTCAGCAGGACCCGTCAAACTCTGTGTCTGAATCTTTAAAGTCTTTTTCATTGCTGGTCTCTTCGAAGTAAGTGCTGTACACTGCTTCAATTCCCTGGCTTATTGTTTGAAGCATAACTTCAAAAACTTGGTTAAGATGGCCAAAAAATATCATCAGGATGTGAGTTTCAGTGAGTCATGATGGATTTCAGAGGTTCTGCATCTTAAAAACAATGGTATCATAAAAAAACCTGCATACTCATTAGTATTTACACACAATTGTTGCACTCTGTTTTAAAGGAAATTACATGGACGGCATCCAGTCTCAATGGAATAAATTATAAATGTGTTCTAACAGTCAAATTATAATATTGTTTCTGTGTGGAGAAAGAAAGACAAAGAAAAAACATAGATAGAAAGTTAGTTTCGTGTGATGTTCCATGGAACAGATAGTAGACTTTTCAACTTGTTCGAGGTGATATTTGAAGATGGGACTTCTATACATCATTTCTACCACTAGGGAAGAGATTGAAAAAATTCTGATACTGTTTGACTTGTCCACTGAGGGGACCAGAGCAGGAGGCATGGAGGAACCAAGTGGGCAGACTGTAAAGGATGGAAGCAGGAAGCGATGTATAGAAGAGCAATGATGGAGGAAAGAAGGAATGAGACGCAGACGGCCAATCTTTCATGTTGCCAGTGACAGAAAGAGTGAAGGAGGAGAAGAGTCGGCCGATAATGCCCTGTCTGTGTGGCTCCCGAAAAACAATCTTTTCACTGTTAGAAGATGAAATTTCAATTGTCGATTTGTGGTTAAAACATCGCTGCTTCAATCTCGAGAACAAGAAATGGTGGAAGGGGGAGAAGACAGAGGAGATGCCAAAGTGCAGGTGGAGGAGGGGTGCTGTTGATGAGGGGAGAGAACAATGTGAAACCTGCTGCTCAAAGGTGCACAGCACAATCAAAATGGTTTTCCCTTCAACTGCGGACTCTCAAAGATAGAATATGCAACAATTCTTCATTGAAATGTCTAAAAACAAATAAACCTATGATATATGTTTTGTTTACTTCAATTGTCCAAAATGTTTCCAACAATGTTCAATTATTCAAGGTCACAGAAGTTGAATTTTGGATGACTCTTTGACCGCTTTATCCATGGCTTTGTCTCTGCACTTCAGTGACAAACAATGTATGAGGAAGGAAAAACAAACTGCGAGCCAGTTAGTCAGTTTTTCCCATAATGGGTCACGATTATTCATTGTCGTTTGCTGCGTAACATGAATAGGTAAAGTACATTACCTCTTGCGTAAACATGATCTGTGCCCGAGTCACCTCAGGTAGACTTTTATCGGCAATTGAGATGAAAACAACTCCCATCATCCAATGCTGCTTCACAAAATCATCATGTATTATACGTTTAAACCAGAACACAGAAGTAGAGTCAGAGGAACATTTTCAAAGATTTACTGTAAAACTTAAAACTAATACTGAATGTAATGACAGAATGAATGATCACAGAGTCCAACAAGCTGGTGAGCAGCTCTCCAGAATCCAGGTCCAAAGTTCACAGAAGTTATTCAATGTCAAAGGCTGGCAGGAGTCCAAGGCAGAGGAACGGTAATGAGAGCTGGCTGAGCGTGGCAGGAGCAGGAGTCAGGCAGATGATCCTCAGCATGGACAAAAACACAGAGATTAATATTCAGGCACGGGGCAGGTAGATGGGCAGGTAACAGAAGTTTAAAAAAAAAGGTTTTCAGAAAAGTAGGAGAAGCCAAGCGAACGACGATCAGAGTCTTGATATACAGCAGAAGGTTTTGGCATAGATCAGGAGATGAGACACGTGCAGGGATGAATCGGTGGGCAAGAAGGAATCCACACGCCACAGACTGAGAGGACCTAACCAAGGACAGGCCTGCAGCAGCAACAGGAAAACAAGAATTCCATAATCCTACCAGTAAAATCCTAAAAGTAATAATTGTCCAAATGAATACATTTAGTGTGACATTTTGTTAAGTGTAAATAAAACCAAGCAACACATTGCTTTACAGAAAAACAACATTTGCTGGCTAAGAAGTGAACTTACTTCTTGCTAAGAACTTAGTTCCTTTAAATCTTAAGGATGACAACATTAAGCTGATTACTGTTCGCTTCATGTTGTCATCCATCTGTAGTCAACTCTACAGGAAGGTAATTACACATTCACCTGTCGGTTCTTAAAATGTTTTCACCCTCTAACCACACCTGTCTCATATTTCCTCTTTTTGATCCGTAAGCCACTTTTTGACACTTTGATTAAAATTCTGCACTGTTGTTGGAGAAATAAAATATACTCTCAGAAACAGAGACAGTTTCTCCCACTGTCAGTGCTCATACTCAACTGTAGTGTATGTTTTGTTGTTCAGGTTACCGCAGAATCAGACCAGAAGACATTTGTTTACCAGGGGCATATTCACAGTAAAGACTTTGGCAAGTTCCATCTGACGAGGCAAGGTAGGTCTGTCAGTAACATCTGCATCAATGTCAACCACAACAAACAACACACACTTTATATTCCGGTTAAACACACTAAATTATGGACATGCTAAAATAATCTGTCATTCATGGATATACTGAAATGGTTTGGTCAGTGTAGCGTAAAATACATTCCATTTCAGACTCACATAAACAACAGAGCTGACGTATACAGAATGAATGAATGCAGTAAGCATTTATTACACGTGCACAATAGGGTTTTTATATTTGTTTATTCATGCATGTGTTGGGTTGGTTTTTTTGTCTGCATCCCCAGGTCCGGTAACCATGGCAATGGACCCATCCAACCCTTACACAAACAGCAGCTCTGTGGCAGCAGCCATCTTAGTTCCTTTCTTTGCCCTCATCCTGTCGGGATTTGCCTTCTACCTCTACAAGCACAGGTAAGCTATATGCTCAACGTAAACCCACCTACAACAGAGCAGAATACAAAACAGCCAGTTTGCCTTCTAGCTTTGTCTGCAAGAAAAAAAAAACATGATGCGCTCAGCCAAAAGTAATATCAAAGCAAACAAGGTATCGCTAAAAATATAGTAATTACTTTATGAAAATAATATTGTTATTATAAATCATAAACCCCAGTTTGACTACATGATGAATATAATGTCCTCCTTGGGTTATTTGCTGATGTGCTGTTAGTGAATTTCAGTGCATTGAAGGGATTTCTTTATTCAATTAGTTTATACATTTCTCCACACACTCTAAGTCATTTAAAATAAGTTTGAATTATTGGTGGAATTATATGATGATCTGTAAATGTTAGAGGTAATGGTTGGAGCTTTTACTCTGAGGGGCTGACACCAAAAGGGGAGCCTGTAGTTATCAAGCTTCTCAAAGTAAGATATAAATTCAAACCCTTTTTTCAGTGACATATTCATATTGACAAATACCGAGGTACATGGCTGTAGATTTATTTCTTATGGTGACCAGAGATGCAGACGCAGCCCTAGGGCCTGCATGAAGTAGGAAGGATAAATTATCAGCAGGTGGAGTTGCATTGCATCTCCCAACTACGACACCCAGGCAGTTTCTTTATGGGCCTGGAATCCAGGCCAGTTCAGTTACATTACAGGAAACCATCCAGATACAGACCAACCAATCCAATATGCAGCAGTCTTTGTATGAATATGCAGCACTCGTTCATGCTTAAATGGATGGTTATGTCCTGTAAAGATCACATTTACATGACAAAAACCTACTGTGAAGAATCACCCATTTATCTAACCTTTACAATTCTTCCTTATTGACAATAACAATTCTATTCAATAACAAATCTATACTTGAGATGTGCATAAGATGAAAATTCATTATAACAGATATTCTACTCCATACTCTGCCTTTTCCAAACTCCAAGCATCATCATGTCACTCCCCTGTTTCAAACTCAGTTGAGAAGATGGAACTAAAACAGAATGGGAAATACAATGACGAGTGAAAGGTTTATTTTTAGAAGGACAGGCGGGTTTACAGAAATGTGTTAATTATAGTTCGAAAGTACAAACACAGCCTGGAGGTTTAATCTGATTGACCTTTTTATTTGATTATTGCCCCTAGAAAGTTTACAATAGACTTCAGAAGCCGTGTGATGTGAGATAATTCCGTACTTTATTGAGGGTAAAATGTCATCATTGATTTTTCATGTTTAAGATTCTGTATCTAAAGTATGATCTGAGTTCTGCACTTCATCACTCAAAGTTTTACAAAGTCATCGTGCTTTTCTAACAATAATCATTATTCCATGTTAATCTGTTAACTTGTCATTTATGGTAGATTTTTGCTACAGCATTGTTTCTACAGAGTCTTTGTGTTTTAACCTGTTGTTGCTGAAACACAGCCAGTCAGTAATAGATACTAACTTGTTACTAACTGTGAATGCTAGGATTATGACTTCTATGTGCAGGACCATGAATACTAGTACACAAGATATTTAGTATATGTGCAAATATTTTATATGAGGAGGAGAGTAGACTTGTAGCTCTGTCTGTACTTTACACTTTGTTAATAGCCTGCTTAGCAGTTAGCAGTGTGCAAATGCTAGTAGATGTATATTAAAGCTGATGGTTGTATGCAGGACATTGTCTGCTGACACAGATGACAATGAAAGACCAAAAGACACCTGGGGGCCTGGCGGCAGGTAAGACTGACACTTGTCATTCACCTGGTTTCCGATGGCAACCAGACCTCCGCCCGCCGCCACATCCTCCGTCAAACTTTTCATCTCTTCTTTTTAATTTGTTTTGCTCATGCTGTTTAGTAAGGCTGCACAATTTAACAAAGTCATTTCTGAACTGAACTGAAACTTATATCACTATATCAACTTTTAAAGGATTCATATTTCACTAAAAGCAACTGTGGGGTGACATTTATACTGAGGACAAAAAGATAAGCTTGTGATTTTAGTTTTATTTTAAAGGCAGTGCAGCCCTACTGTGTTCAAACAGCATTCATTAAAACTAGACGGAGGACTGTTATTATTTCGTCTCTGAGCTCATTGTCATCTCTCTGTCAGCATGATGCCATCAAGAACAAATATTGACCTGCTTTAAACTGGCCTAATCAAAGCCAGTGATATGTTTACCTCTGTTTGCTGCCGCTTCTCATTATTATTTCCAACTGTTTTCTATAACCACAATATTAGTTGCATCTTGACTTAACAGCAGGTGTTTGATAAACCTAGTTTTGCTAATGCAACATAATGCCAGTGGAAAGAGATTTATTTCTAATTATTGCTTTATTATGTGAGATACTGAAAGTAATGTATGAGTGTGTGCGCTGCAGTGTCTTCCTATTTTGGCCTATTTGTCTGTACAGTGTCTATAATACTGTCAAAGTAATTATGTGTGCTGTTTCTCACTCTACCAATAAAACTAAACTATTGCACCTACAGCCACAAACAGAAACTAGTGCAGCCATTTGAACTACTGCCACGCAGCGAGGTCTGTGTGCTGGGGTTGGTGCAGTTTTGTAAAGTAATGGGTTGAGCATGTAGGGTAGGCTTAGTGGCTCCCCAGGGTTGGATTTCCACTATTTCGTATACACACACATATACACATACACACATACACACACGTCTTAATGAGGTCAGAGTCAAACAGCGTTTCAGCTGCAGCACTCTTCCCTACTAATAGTTCCACAGGGTTTGGGAGTAAGTGATTATATCTAACTGGATTATAAAGCCTGATTATCCAGAAATGTAATCTGCAGCAAACAGACAAATCAGGACGGGAGCAGTCCCATTTCATCATGTTTCTGTTTGAACCTGTGTGGCATGTTTCTTAAGATCCTTAGTCAGGCAACAATTTCTTTTGAACTATAACTATCGAAAAGCATTTGAAGGATGATGGCAGTTTGCATGCACGCAGAGACATGAGAGCAGCAGATGGGCACTGGGCAGCTGAATCACTGAAGCAGACAGTTGTTATGGTTCATGTCCTCTCGCCTGCCATAAATTTCATAGCAATTTGAAAAAAAAAAAAAGATTTTCTCTTTTTTTTTCTAAGCAGAAACCTGCTCTTTGAAAGTTTGCACATTGATCTCAAGGGGAAGTTGTCATCAGTATGTCTGATAAGACAAGTAACAGGACATACATGGTATTTTAAGTGAGCAATGATAAATATAGCTAATACTCATTTTCTAATATATGCTTTTACAGTTATGTACAGATTTATCTTGCCATCCAGTAGTTCTTGATGCTCCACACCTATCATTTTCCCCCTGGGTTTTAATAATCAGTGAGGTTGAAAGGACTTGTAAATGCCACTTATAACATATTATGTGTTTTGCCTCATTTGGAAATGTTTTAAAATTGTTCCACTTATGACCAAAAACATCATAATTTCACATTGACCTCAAATAAATCTTTTAATTTTGCAATCATCCAAAAAAAATCTCTGAAAGGTTCAGGTTTTTGAGACACAGGCTCCATAACAACCTCACAGACACACATGAAACCAACACGAGCATCCCAACAGAGTCATGTTTCCCCTGACAAATGCAATGTAATATTCCCTGGCTATTTGGCTCTCTTTTGATTCACTAACTCCTGGGAAAAGTATCTGTATCTGTTGAAGCTGACTTCTTTCATCGGTCACTGATTCATTAGAACTCTTTGCTGTTTGTGCTTGGATGGTACCATACAGCCGGTGGGCATCAGTGAGCGCTGTGAGACTCTAACGTACACTTTATGTAATGAAAGACCTACAGCTGCATAGAGCTACAGATTTCTGTGTCTCACTCGGAACAGCACTACAAGCGACAGAGGCAATTACACTTATCACTCTTTAGAAAGTCAGCAGGAGCAAGATGAAATATATATGTGTGAGGGTGCAAGGAGTAGAGGTGGCAAATGGATGAGTTTAAATACCATGGGCTAACTATTCAAAGTGATAGGGAGTGCGTAAGAGAGGTGAAGAGGAGAGTGGAGGCAGGGTGGAGATGAGTGTCAGGAGTGATTTACGACGGAAGGATGCCTGTGAGGATAAAAGGGACAGTTTACAAGTTAGTAATAAGACCAGATATGGCCCCGTTCACACCTGTGATTATCATCAGTAGTGTGATCACACGTGGTCAGCTCTAGGTACAGAACACAGCCAAGACGTATTTGAGATACAACACATTCAGAAGTGGTGTAGGATGCATTTGGCCACATTCTGCTAGCTGTATGAAAGCAAATTAGTCCTGACATCCTCTGACCCCCACATTTTCACAATAAACTGAAAATGTATTTATATCCAGTGATACATTGATCTATTTATTTGATTGGGTGGCAATGTGGAACAGTGGTTAGCACTGTCTTTCTGTGTGGAGTTTGAATGGGTTTTCTCCGAGCACCAAGAACACGCAGATTGGGATTAGGTGAGTTAGAGACTCCAAATTGCCCTTAGTTGTGATAGTGAGCATGAATGGTTGCTTGTCTGTGTACTTTGGCCCTGTGATGGACTGTTGACCTGACCACGGTAAGTCTCACCTCTCACACTGTCAGGTGAGGTGGCTCAACCCACCCCACCCCCCCTCTGGATAAACGGTATAGATAATGGATGGGTGGACTTCATTGTAGAGCTGCACACAGCACTTATTTGCTCGGCCCCTCCTGGCCCCTTGAAAACAGACGGGCCTGTCACAGTCAAGCCGTTTTCAAACAGGGCCTGTGGGTATAATCCGGAGTGCCACGGAGTTTACCCAGAGTTTGCCTTTCGAACGTGCACAACACAGCGGGAGGTGTGTGTCGGCTCTTATCAACACAAACTCTCTTGAAATCTTGGTCGCTGTCTTCTGTGTGTGTTACCGCTTTTTCAACGGTTGTTTTCTTTTGTTTTTGAAAATTTTTGCTGTTAGCAGCCCCATGAACGGGATACCCTGTTGTGTTCTCACATGGACTTCTCCTGGATTTCTATAGACATTATACTAGGAGGCTAGGCGGAGAAAGGCCGTACACACCATGGCACGTCTCTCTCGGACATTTGCGTTCACACATGCACCTCCTCATACGTAGGAACTGCAGAGTCCAGTGCTTGTCTGAAAGCAGCTTCAGAGTGACTAGAGATCATTATTTCGTCTTTGCAAACAGAACACATGTAGAATACATGTTTTTGCATTTGGAGAAGGGAAGTGAGATCCGCTCCCAGGTGACTACTTGAAACACATGTTGAGATGCATTCTAATACCATGTGTTAACTGAGCTGTTGGCTTGTGATCAGATCACATGAACAGAGCCTGTGCGTCAAAGTTTGAATTTTTTGGCACTGACATTAAAACAGGAGGTGGTGCTGGAGGGGGCAGAGTCAGAGATGTTGAGCATTGTGTTGGGAGTGACAAACATGGACAGGACTAGAAATGAATATATTAAAGGAATGGTTCACATGGGATGGTTTGGAGACAAAGCAAGAGAAGTGAGATTGAGATTGTTTTGACAAGGAGAGATGGTGGGTATATTGGGGGAAGAAAGCTAAAGCTGGAGCTGCCAGGCGAAGGGATAAGAGCAGGGCCATGGAGGAGGTTTATAGATGTGGTGAGAGGAGACATGCAAGTAGTTAGCGTGACAGAGGAAGATGCAGAGGGCAGGAAGAGATAGAAACAGAAGATTTGCAGTGGCAACCTCTAATGGGAGCAGCCAAAAGAAGAAAACTCAATGCAGGTTTAATAGTATGCTATACTTAGTGTCACTGCAAGATAAGCGTGACTAACCTTGTCATTTTTTTCAGTGTCCTCGCTGACACTTCATGCATATTTTATATTAAAACATCAGCATATTTGGGCACTTTAACCTTGATTGCCTGAAACAAGTGTGAGTTGAACTTGTGATTTTGTGTTTCAGATGCATGTGCACTTTTTTGTTAAAACCCATACTCCATCCTTAACGCAGTTTTCTGTCCTTTTCTTTTCAGGACACGTCCCAAGGTCCAGTTCAATGGCTATGTCGGCCATGAGAGCTCCAATGGTCAGGCGTCATTTGAGAACCCGATGTATGACACCAACATGAAGCCCACTGAGGCTAAGGCGGTTCGATTCGATACCACACTCAACACAGTCTGCACTGTGGTATAGTCCGGCAAACCTGCCACTCAACAGTGGTTTAGTCCAACCTGTTGCAGTCTGCGGTGTGGTTTAACCAAACAAACAAGAAAGAGCAAACACATGTTTTGGACACGTCACCGTGAGCAGTCTGTGTTGTAGCATGCTGGTCCTCTGTCGGCATAATCTGCACAGTAATGCAGCTCTGCTCCTGCTCCTGAACAATGGTATCATCCACTTCTCCCTGTAGTCCGAAAGAGCTAAACAAGTTGGAACCAACAAACAAGGGAGTAGACAATGACGCCATCGAGTTAGATGAAGTCTGTTGTTCAGGAGATCAAAACTGGGACCAGAATTCTTCTTTAAGCACTGTTGCAGTTCAAACATCAAGAAATATGGTACGATTAGTACAACTTCCTCCATTAGCGACAACCTAATTGAACAGGACTTATTCAGCGAGTGACTGCTTAAGTTTGACCCAACCTCCTTATGGAAAGGGCTTTGTACGCCTCTCAAATCCCCTCCCTGCAACCTCAGCAGTGGTGTACCCCAACCTAACCCCATACCCCAATGCCAAATTTGCACAGTGGTATAGGCTTACTAACTCCTCCTGCTGTAGGCCAGACATGAGTTTGACCACTTTCAGGCTTTACCCTCAGGGGAAGCACACAGACTATTCCACCTCTCAGCTCCCTCCAGACATTGAATAGTAATTGGACAATTTCTATATGTCAACACAAAAACCATCACTGGTGCTGGACCAAATCCTCCCACTGGACTTCCATCACTCTAGACTTGACAGGACTGGACTCTGATGTAACGACAGCTCACACAGTCTGTTTTGGTGGAATCTGACATTAATGGCACAGGCTGCTGTAAAGCTGACAACCAAACACAGTCAATGCAGTGACAAGTTCAAACTGATCAATTCCTTTCAAAAACATGATCCTCATGTCCAGCACTGGATACTAGCCTTTAATCAGTACTGCGAGTGGTGGACTAGTGCTGAATGGGTTGAAATAACAGTTGCAGATAAGTTTGTTTTAGCCTACTTGTGGAACTGAATGGGTTCAACATAGGAGGACAATCACAGAGGACTGCAAGTTAAGTTGTTTCAATATCATTTTTTAATGTGTTCCTGTGATTGTACCTTCTGCCACTTGCTGTATTGCCTTTTATGAAAGTGTCTATTTACAGTATTTGGCAACAGTAAGGCCAAACATACCGAATCAAGCATTCGCAAATGTTGTTTTGTCCAGGTTTAGTACTAGTATGTTACAAACAAGATTTATATGAGGTTTGAATATTCTGAATATTCTACAGAGGTACTACACACTTAAAATTAGTCAAATACACAATATTCGACACTAGCACCAGATAGACCGTGCTGAACCTGAATACCTGACATTTGAGCTGCCCGACTGGTGGACACAATGGACTGGTTTCCAGTGGCCTGTCCAACACAATCAGAGTCAGATGCCTGATTCTTGTTCTTGGCCTGGATTCTCTGGAAGCTTGGAGGCAATAAGCTGTCAAGATATTCGACCGCTGCATTCAGCAACATCCAGGAAATGATTTGTCTTCTTGAAACTCCGGTCGGTATGATCAGTCAAGTGATTTTTTTTTTTCTGCAGTTTATTCTCCAGCCACAACATCAACAGATGGACACACAGACTGGTTGACCGACAGAAATTAGACAGACGGACACAGACAAATGGACAGACAGGCACATTTGTCAATTGTGCTGGGGAAAAAAAGAGACAAGGACAGGTTACTATGGAAACGGAGACAGATAGTTGTCTCCTGTTGTCTCTTCTGGCATTTTTCTTCAGTGAAGATATTGATGAACAGACTCTTGTTCAAAAACCCAGTGGCCCCATGGGACTTCCCAAACTATTGCTGCTGGGGACCCCAAAATATAAACTTTATATCAACTCTTAAACTGCACAAATTTTGCACTAGTGTGTTTTTCTGACTGGGTTATTAAAACAAACTAAGAATTTTGGGGTCTGAAATGGGTTTGAAAAATGAGTCATTCAAAAAAAGTAAATTTTATTCAAAAACTTCTATCTTTAAAAAGATGATAAAATGTCTAAATACAGGGTTACAGAGTGTTTGTATATACACATTTATATTTCAGAATCCCTGTTAGCAGAAGGTGTGACTACATGCTATAACGTTGTTTATTTCATTGCCATGACAACACGCTAGCCAAACCCAATAGTTTGGATCAGTTTACCTGTGGACCTCCGAGCTTCTAGTGTCACGTACTGGCAACACACTCCTGCCATTTATAGAGCAGTGACTGTTTCTGAAAGCTTCTACTGAATCCTGTTACCATGATATTTGGAAGAAATATCTGGAAAGCCTCACATCCATAATATGCAGTATGGTCCCACTGTGATACTATGGTACCACGCTGCTAGTTTCATTTTCAGGTATTATACCCCATCATTTTCTGATGTTCGTCTTACACACTTTAAGATAAAACAGTAACTTAATAGAAACAAATTTTTCTCAGTGAGCATCTTGTAGCAGCAGACAGTTCAAGTTTTCAGAAACATGATGTGACTGTTTCTCTACGTCTCTTTAAAAAGATGTGTTGCAGTGTTCCTCACCACTCACATTGTCATGCATCATCTGTTCACACACCCGATGTACACAATCATATTTCAACACACCTTTTTAAAGAGCACATGGCGCACGTGTGATCTGTTTGAGATCTGTTGCGTTAGAGCAGAGGACAGAGAGATACAGTCCTAAGACAACATGCACAATTATTGTTGTCGAAACGTGTCGGCCCTTCCCAACACTGAACCCCTCCATTGTTTGAGAAATACCTCGTGTGCAGACAGTAAGTTACAAACTGCTTATCAATGCTGGAACCTCACTGCAACAAATACACAAGCTTAGCGAGGGCGACCTCTTTGTGCTTATTTCCTGGTAATTTCAGTCAAAACTTTGCGCTAACACCCATAAATCTGCAGGATCCAAGATCCCTCTAAGATATTTTTATTTTTTGAAAGATGCTGCACTTGGTTTAGATCACAGATGTAACTGCTTTCAGTGTGTGTCTTTCACTCAGCGCATCACATTCTGACATTAGGTTTTTACAAAAACAGTGTTTTATTTAACCATCATGATTTTATTGTTCAACCGAATTTTTCTTTATTGTTTTCAGTCATTCAACCTGTCCATCATGTTCAATAAATCACAAATTCATTCATTCACACATTCTGTATCAAATGGTGAGTAGAACGTATGATGTCAGATAAGGAAAATCTACTACTGATATGTTTTAACTCATGAAACGCATAATTACAGTGTTATACTCAAGGCCAAGACTCAATTCAGATCAGAGAGTGCATTTTTTTGAATACTCAAATACTGAAAGAGCATTTGGCATGAGAAAGTTGTCGCATCGACCAATTTTGAAAGAATTAATTAACAGTTGTTGTTTCTATTTAAATTTTAATTGAAAACGACTCTACCCCGGCCCTGACTGCTGCAAATTAAATGTCCCGAAACAATGTGATGATGTTTGGAAGAATGTCAACAGGATATTCTTGGTATTATAACATCCATTGTCAGTCTGGGGTCAAACAGCCACAGACACAAACAGCAGTGTGAGACACAGACAGTAGAAATATGCAGATGTGTGTAGTAGCTAATTTACTGGTGAAAGTAAAAGACTGACAAGACAGAAGAGTCACATTTAAAATCTCTTCACAGGAATAAACAAGACATCTGTAAACAACAGTCGAGCGTCTGCTCATAAGCTTGTGCGCTTCCTCTCTTTTTATTGCTGGAGTGCACCCAGTGCCTTCATTTTAATTGATTTAATTAATTCAGTGAAGATTTCCTGGAGTCCTGGAGTCGAGAGTGCATAATGGAGCCTGAAAATTAGAGGCTGCATGGTTTCCAAAAAGCATAATAAAAGGTCTAATTTTTAACACGTAATGACACAGATCTGATCACCCACCGTGCCCAGAGAAAGAGAATTTAGACTCCTATAAATAATGGCGTGTAAAGATCAGAGAGGTGCGGCTGAGGTTCGATTTCAGATCTCACAGAAACTCAGCCAAATATAAAGCAAATATTTGTGCAGATCCTTTAAGGTTATGGTGTACAGGCCTTAATAACATCTGAAGCTTACAGCAGAGCTCTAAAATTATGACAGTGTTTCTGAAAGCCCACAAGGATGCCAGATGAGCTCAGTTTATGACTGCCAGCACCGAACCCCTTCATTTTAAGAGAGATTGACTTTCCCCCCAGTAGCCTTTCAATGTTTCTCTCAGTAACCAGCTGTGCAGAGGCAGATGTTTCTTTCAGGAGCTGTTTTCACTCACAGCTTTTCTAACATGAAGGGTGTGGTTTCATTATGTCAGCCTTAAGCTATTCCTGAGCCGTTCAAACAGGGATAGTGTCCCTGTCAGTTGAATTTACTTTATATTTAGACAAAGGTTTAATGGCCTGTTTGTGGAACATGTGTTGATTAAGCTCTCTAGGTAAAATTATTTATTTACATTGCTTTTTTTGTAGTATTCTATCTATTATTATGTGGATTCATGGTGGACGTGCAGATGAAGTTCAGCACAGATGGAAGTACAAACCA